TTCTATTCTGAGATAGGAGAAAACTACCCTGTGTTTGGAGGCGAGATATGCTGGCGGCAATGCTGCTCTGTCACTCTTTGTTACACTGAGATGTTTGGATGGAGAGAAGCATAAATCTAGCCTAAGTGCACAACCAGGCACAGTACCTTCCCTTGAACTTATTTGTGACACAGATTCCTCTGCTCACATGTTTTCCTGCTGACCTTCTCCTCACTATCACCCTGTTCTCCTGCTGCATTCCCCTTGCCGAGATAGTGAAAATAGTAATCAATAAATACTGAGGGAACTCAGAGACCAGTGCCGGTGCGGGTCCTCCGTATGCTGAGCGCCAGTCCCCTGGGCCCACTCTTCTTTCTCTATACTTTGTCTCTGTGTCTTATTTCTTTTCTCAGTCTCATCCCACTTGATGAGAAATACCCACAGGTGTGGAGGGGCTGGCCCCCTTCATTGATATGTATGGCATTTAGTCTTGGGGACAGAAAGGTCTTCCCCCACCCCCATCATCTTCTTCTTTAAAATTATTATGTTTGGGATAGAGGGCGAGGGAGGGATCACATACTGCAGAAACAGAGCAGTTTTGTATCAGAAAGCAAGGCACACTTACTCTCTGATTCCTGTGACGCAGGTGAACCAACAAAACACACAATATTTTCATTCCATCCAAAGTTCAATATTGAAGAACAAGTGTCCTGTTACTGATATCATTTATTTCAGCTTTGGGAACCACTTGATTCTGCAGCCACAGCCCAGTGCTATTTAATATGGGATGGAGGGTTTTGCTGTCTTTGAGTCAACCTGACTTGCACAAAGACTTTTTCCAAAGGAGTCCACATTAGTCTGTGACACCTACTACTCCATTATCACGATAAAATCTCTTAAGATTTCACCTGGTTTTAACATATGCCTAAGAGAGTTTTTTAGGTGGTGGAGATAACTACAAGAATTTATCTAAATTGTTTTAAGTCAGTTTCCATTTTCGTCCAAAGTCCCTTTCATCAGTTTTGTAAACTCAGTCTAGGGCGATGGCCCCAATACTACTGAATGCCTCATCTATGGTTTCCTGTAGGAGTTTGCATGCATTAAGGAAATCTCTCCAAGTGGGTCAAAACACTTATATAATAGGCAGGATCCACCGAAGAGAACAGTGACAACAAATCTGAGATTTTCACTGTTATCTCTGAATGGATCTAAAGTTGGCATTTTAGGCTGAAGGACAGATTGAGTCATAAAATAATGTGTATGGACACCACTCCATTATCTTCCAATCGAACCAGACGAACTGCTCACCTTTTGCTAGGTAGGCCCATAGTATCACTGATTTTCCTCTTTTCATTATAAATGTAGGGGCATACCTCGGTAACTGTTAGCTAAAAAGGGTCAACCTTCTGTCCATCCATAGAATGATCTTAATACTATTTGTTACAATGTGCACTGCTGAAATTGGCTGTCATGTTAGTGCAGAATGCAAATCACTTGGAGGAGAGTTAGGGTGCCATTTGGGCAGCTGTCTTGGAACCTAATTCCAAGTGATCACCTTTGAACCACATCCTTAATTCCATCCCCCAACATTCCTGATTAATGGGCAATAACATGGAGGAGGCTTTATTGCCCAATTAACCTTGTGATTGGGTCAATGCTTGCTATCGATTCTCATAGTCTTCCCTCAACATCCCGTTAATTGCCCCATGAAGCTGTCATCATTTCTCTTCCAGAAAACCATGTCTCTATTAGCACCCCAATCTTGTTGCCAAAACTATCAAGAACTGTGATGGATCTACGAGCTTACCCGACTTACAAGTTAGCATGCCAGCCTGCTGTATTTTCATGGAAACTCTTAGAAGACATTAAATTCATGGGTCAGAGACAAATAAAAATTTGTCACTCATCTCAATAACAGTAGCCAATGTATCAGCATTTTTGTTCAAGCCCCAGAGCCCCAATTCCCACAGAATGATACGAAGAGATAGAGAAATAATACCTGCACATGCGGTGGGTTGAATTACATCAGAGAAACCCTGAGCTTAGGAAATCTAAATTTTTAATAGTGTATATTAAGTATGACTGCTCTTTGCTCTGGAGGGAGGCTAAACTGTTCACTATATGCACTTAAAAAAAAAGTCCAGAATAAAAAGTAGTGGCCTTGCGTATAAGATGTGAAAAAAATGTAAGAAACCCATTAAGAGTTGTTTCCCAACATTAACATAATATTTTGTTCTGGTTCCTTTCACCACTGTATATCACTGTGTGTGTGTATATATATATACCACTTAATCACTTAATCACTATGTATGCTTAGGCTATATATATATATATATATATATAGTGAGAGAGAGAGAGCCTAAGAATACATATAAGAAATTAAAATCCTGAAATCTTCGAAAAATAAGAAACTATTAAGAGCAGCTATTCCATTTCCTGTGTTTGAAAAACTAAGCCTGGAAAAATTAAAGAAGTTGGCCTATAGCCACTTAATTGGTTATATAGTATGAAGCTAGAACCTAGGTCTTGCTACTATAGGTCTACCATATTTAATTACTCACATTTTTTAGAAAACATTTTAGAAGTGAATGGCATAAAACTTCAGTTCTACTCATGTTCAAGATTAAGGTATGTCTTCATCCTTTGGTTTCCATAGTTCTCTCTACACCTGCCATTGTGCCAAATATTTAAGCCTTCAGTGAATTAATGAACATATGTTTGCAAAACACAAAGAAATAATCACTATTAATAGGACAAAGTTTAGATGTTATTACTTGCCAGCCAATGCTATAGTAAGTTTTAATTCTGGTAAAATGTTTGTTATCCACAGCTGAAAGTCAATTGAGAAAGCGAGCCTTACAATGATTATAGAGAAACTCCATAAATATAGTCATATGCTTAAACCATAACTTGCTATTTTAGCCATTTTAAAACACACAATTAATGTCTCGCTGGTATATTGTGGCAGCATTTTAACTCTCATTTAAGTATTTTAAATAATTGAGCATTAAATAACAATAAAAGCCAAATAGCAGTTTTATAGTGATGCTGTTGCCAACAAGGTCTTAACTCAGGATTTTGCTCCCCTGTCAAAACTTATCTTTCTTCCTATTCTCAGCATTTGCCAGTAAAATGTTCTTAATAAACAATTTAAGCACCACAGTCCATAATCTTAAATTGTTGTCTTACACAGATTCTACTATTCCTGGAGAAAGCTAACATTATTAACTTTTGCTGGCATCTGTGAAAGTGTTCTGAATTTCCAGACCATGTAATATTTGCCATTCATTTGTAGATCATAGCTTTTACAAAGCCAAACTTGGCTGTCTCTACATTTTTCTTAGAGATGGAGGATTTTATTTTAAATAATGGGGCCCTATGTGAGGGATATAAAGTCACCTTTTACACCTGGTGATAAACTGCAAGTCATTGGCCCATTTTTGTGTTTCAAGAACAAAAAGGTAAGGATCACTATGAATTTCTGACAATTTAGCAAGATTTTTACATGGAGTTGTTTTGAAACATATGGGTTTCAAGCAGATGTAAGATTTGGTCCGTTGTAGAAATAAAGGCTGAGAACTTAGAAATGTATCTTGTTTATGACATGAGGCTTAAGAATAATCTTGTAATACAGAGGTTAAAAATATGAAATTTCCAACCATAATGGTGTAGATTTATTAGCTGCAAAACCATTTATGCAAGGTAATTAAAAATTGGGTTCTAATCTTTCTGTATTCATTACCTCTCCAATGATATTTCATGATATTTCTTGCTCAGCAAATAAAATTTTTAAAATACAAAGTTTATATTCAGTATAATAACTAAAGTTTTATATATTATTTCACCTATTCCTCAGGGGCATGCTACCACCTCTTCATCTTTACTATGCTTTGTGTTTTATTTTTACATTTATTTGCATTTTTTCCTATTTCAAATAGTATAGAATAATATCTCACTGTCATAATTTTTGGGAAGATTAGAAAAAGAAAGTTTATAACAATTCATTAAGTAAGGCATTGCTTTTCATACTTTAATTACAACAATGATATAGCAGTTATGAGCACTGAGTAAAATGTCCCTGGATGTAGTTGCCAAAAGAGCTAATAAGATATGAAACTGCCTTCATAGAAGCACATTGTCTTTAAAGAATGGAGTATCACATGTTCTGTGTGAGTTATGCCTCGATACCCTTTGTTCAGTTCTGAAAGTGATACCGAAAAAATAACAACGTGGAGTGAAGTCACAAGATACTAACCAGGCCGTGATGGAATTAAAATTCAGCCACATGAAGAGGGTGGAAGTTGGTGAATGGGGATATGTGGGGCATTATTTAATAGCCATCTTTATATGTCTGAAACACTTTCATCAGAATTTAACACACATATGGGAACCTTCATGTCAGAAATAGAAGAAAAGGTAGAAGTTATAAGGAGGCAGAGTCTCCTCAAGAAAGTTTTCAAAATGATCAGATCTATCAAAACTGGAAAGTAGTATTCTAATAATGCAAGTATCCAGAGATGTGTTGAGAATGCTGTCAATAGGGTTCAAAGCTCTAATTGACAACTTTACTAGATGATTTTTCAGCCTCTTCCAACTCTGCAAGCCTATGACTTTTATTTGTCTTAAAGCTGGTTTATATTTACACAGAGAGAGACTCATTTGTGCCAGTAATAGTTCAAGATTAACCAAAAATTACGCTTGTTGGAAAAATTTCTAAAAATGTTGATACCAGATTTGGAAGTTGTTGTGGATGTGTCCTGTACTGCTCCCAGTTACCTTTGAAAATTACCGTTAATAAAGAGATACGCCATGTCCAAGATCACTCCCCCATTCCTTAGGGACCTGCATCTGATCACTAATTGAATTAGGAGTATACACACCCAGTCCCCTTATTTTAACTCAGGAAAACTATAAAACACTGTTACAGCATCAGAGTTCTTTGTGAAGTGGATTGAAGCCATAATCTGACTGCGCTATAACCCACAATCACAACTTCCCAAATTCTCCTTTCTTCTCTTTACCTGAGAAGTGTTGATCCTTGGAGCCTTTCCTCATAAAAATTCCTGCACACTATTCTCCATCTGAGTTTGGTTCCTGAAAAAAAAATGAGGTGAAAGTTAGAATTTGGTTTTAAAGGTTGGATTACCTGCTTTGCTGGCAATAAGGATATCAAGGAAATAAGTCAATAAGATGCTGGGTGAATTTACAGTACAGAGTAGCCATGTAAATTTAAAACATAGGATGTGGATGTCTGGGATTAGTGCAGTTGAGAATCTTCTTTTACCAAATTCTGCTAAAACCTCTGTGTCTGCTGAAATAGAGTTCAATGCTTCATCATTTTTGAAGTCTTTTTACAGTCCCCGTAGGACAACCCTTGCCCCCTCAGAAAATTCCCCTACTTTCCTTCCTAACCACTAAGGCCACAACTAGATTAAATCACCACATAGCAAGGTCAAGGATGTCCTGAATTTTCTAAGAAAGGAAAAATAAATGACCATGAAAATACTATAGCACCTAGAAAATATGTAGTAGAAGGATTCAGAAGACATTAGAACTGTATTCTGCAGATGTTCAATGGGGGCAGAAAAGGGTGGAAGAACATAAGCTGAGTAAAAAAGCATTTCTTAATATGGAAGCAAGTCCTCAACCCTCAACATACAGGAGCTTCCACCCTTGCTGCAACCCCTGTGAGACATTGCTAACAAACTGCAGAGATAGCTGACTGTTAGAAGCTTGGACAAAATGATCAGCCAAAGTAGAAAAGCCAGGAATGCCATGGTAGACAGTGGAAGAAATGGATTCAGAGTTAAGAGAAGCAGGCAATCTCAAGTGGATAAACTATGTAAGAACTGAAAACACATCAAATGACTGTCTGGCTACAAGAGCTCCCAAAGGTCATTGTTTACCAAGAGCATAAATAACTCGGTGAGAAGAACTCCAGCCTCACTGTGAAGCTTGATGGTGACTGTACTCTGTAGACCAGGAAGACCATAGGAAATATTGTTACCAAACTGGGATCAGTAACAGCAGTGAGGATGATAGGATCCCTTAATAATAGAGGACATGTGTGAGTTTCAATTGTCAAAGGCATTAGCAAGATAAGAATGACAGCCAGAGGCAATAACTTGCACAGAAGTATAAAAATATTTATTAGAACCAAGATAGAAAGGCAGCCACTACGGGTTTTACTCAATCTCTGTGACCAGAACAAATCAAAAATAGATTATTAGAATAATGATAAGTAAAATATCCCTACTTCTTTCCTGTTTTTAGATCTGAATCACATTTCTGACCCAGAACTGCTGATGGAAGGAGAGGACAGATCCCCAGGAGAGAGTACCATGCTGCACCATCAGTAAAAATTTCCCTAGACTTTTTCCAAAGGTATCTATGACTATTTACTCAGGTCACAATACACTGGAGAAATGGGACTACCCAAGCATTGTAGAGACTGCCAGACACAGGGTCAGAGTTGATGTTGATACCCAAGAACTAAATGTATCATTGTTGCCCCTCAATTAGAATGGGGGCAAGTGGGAACCAGGTAACAAATGGAGTCTAGTCTAGGTCTAGTTCACAATGACTATGTGACCCCATCAATAGATATTTCTGTCACCAGGTTCATAGGTAAAGTGAGTATGTTTAGTATCAGGCAGAATTCCCGTATTAGTTACTTGACATTTGGAGTAACAATTTTTGTAGTAATAGCCTATGAAACTGATATAGATTCATGTCTACTTTAAGAATAAAAGGAGTACTGTGCTAATTAGGCCTATCATATTCAATTCATTGATCTAACCCTTGCAAAAATCAGATGAATCCTGTGGGATGACAGTAAATTACTAATCAAAATGGTACTCTAATTGCAACTGTTTTGTCAAATACACTTTGACAAGGGTAACTTTGGTCAAGTCAAATAACACAGTCTCAGGTACATGGTATGTGACCATTGATCTGGCTAATGTAATTTCAATCTCTATGGAAAAGATTGGAAAGAATTAAATTCACTAGTAACAGACAACAGTACAAACTTATAATATTGTTCCATGGCTATCTTAACCCTCAGCTTTCCACATAATCTCCTCTGATGGATCCAGAACTGATGGACATTCAGTAGAATGTCCTATGGGTCCACTATATAACATTGTACTAATCAGACCCAGAAAGAAACAAGTGGCAAGTGGGTTGGAGGCCTTGGAAAGACACAGGCACTTTAGAGACTGAGACATACATTCTGTCAAGAGTTAAGATACTACCACATTAATACAATAATTTTTAGAGGACCAGTAGTTTATGGTATCCCAGGACACACCTTAAAAATAAGAAACAATTAGCGCGTCCTGAAGCTTTCATCTTAAAGAAGGAAGCACCATTCCTGATAGGCCACATTCTGGAAGATTTCTCTGGCTATTATACAGATTGACATGAATAACTGCAAAGTTTTAGTAGCATACTGTGCAGGAAAAAGGCTTTTTAGCAATCCAGGTTTTCACATTTTGGCGTAAGTGACAATAAGCTTGGGTAATTTAACCTGACAGATCTTTTGATCTTAGGAATATCTGTGATAGAAAAAGACATTATGTAGGGATTATGTAATGCTTAATGGGAAAATTATAATGTAGTATGCTGGGACTCCAGAGCAAGGCCATGCTATCTGCAAAGTAGAACTAAACTTAACTTTCAAATAACAGTTCCTGATGTGATACTGGCTCTGCTAGAGATGCATTATAAGATGCCAAATGAATGTAGCTGGAAATGACCAACCGGAGCTACGGTCTGTCAACCACACCACTATTTGAGAGCTTATAGCAAGGCAAGGGTAGAAGCTGAGAGATTGGTAAAGAGGCTATTATAGCAATTCAGGGAGGTAAAACTGGTGGTGTTAAGAAGTGCTCAGATTCCAGATATAACTTGAAGATACAGAGCTGACAAAGCATGCTGGTGGATTGGATGTGTGGTGCGATGGAAACAGAGGAGCCAGGATGACGAGAAGATTTGGGGCCCGAGCGAAATGATTGGCCATGTCCTGAAATATCAAAGAATGTGAGAGGAGATTTGTGAAGGACCAGGGCAATGGTGGAAAGAAAGTTATTTAAGGCTCCGTTTTAGGCAGGCTAAATTTGAGACACATATTAGACATTCAAGTTGAAATGTCAAATAAGCAGTTGATAAACCAGTGTAGAGTCAAGGGGATAGGTCCAAGCTGGAGAAATACAGTTGGTATTATTAGCATATAGATGATATTTAAAGCTGTGAGTCTGTATGAGATCATTAAGGGAGAATGCATAGCTAGAAAAAAGTTCAATGACGGGGTGTTAGAACAGTCTCACTTTTAGAGGTCAGGGAGTTGAAAGGGAGCCAGTATCAGAGCTAAGAGAACAAGGTCAAGAGCAGGAATGAAGACAAAGACAGAATGACGTTTTATTCTGAAACAAGTAAAGAAAGTGTTTCAAGGAGGAATGAAAGATTAACCATGTTGCAAGAGGCTACTAAGTAAGTTGATTCTATGTCATTATTCTGTTTCTTCAAATTTGTTTTACTTTGACATTTTTCATTTCAATTTTTTCTTATTAGGACCCATTTTACCTCATTTCATCAGTTTTGCATCCTTGCTCACTTTTGTATTCCTCCTGAACTGTTATGATATTGCTTCAAATACAGTAGTGTTTGGCAGCCCATGTCCTCTGAATTATAAGAGCTCTCTTTCTGATTTGTAAACACAAGCATAAGACCTATCACAATTTGGACTCTGACCTTGTATTTCCTCCAAAGAATTCACAGTTCTTTTTAGACATTACCTCATTACTCCTAAGGTATAAGTACAGAGACATTAAAATCTATTTGGAAGTACATGTGAAGAATTAATTGTATAAAATAGGCCATGAAGAATGTTTAAACTAAATAAAATAAATTTTTCTAAAGACAAAGTCTTATGCTTTTCATAAGCTCCTATATGTAATTAGTCATAGAAGTAACACAGAATGGCTTTTTGAAATATCAATCTAGATAACTCAACAAGAAAAAGATTTAGAATGTTGTGCCTGCTTTAAATAGGCACAGCATAATATCAACATAATCATCACCATCTTCATCAGTATTATCTATGAGAAACCTTAGTCAGTGTCAGCACTGTGCTAAGCACTTAAAATTATTATTTCTATGATAAGAGCCACTATTAAACCAGTGATAGAATTGTCCACCTTAAAATAAGGAGTTCCAGGCTCAGAGACTGTAGGAAACTTGCTGAAGGTCACTTAGATAAAAGTGATGGGCATGAAATGTGTAACCATATAACCTAATAATAATAACGATGATGCCTAAATTTTGCTTTTAAAGGAAGAGCTAAGTTTCTCGCAAATAGTATCATGGAAGTTGAAAGGAGAAATCCGGATGATAGTTTAAGCATACGGAATAAGAAACAGACCAAGTACTTGAAATTAAAAGTTGATTATTTGGAAAAATGAATAAAATTAGTAAGTATCAAGCAAAATTAAAAAAGGAAATAAATAAAATGTCTATATTTCTATCTATCTAAGCTAAAAACAAAAGGAAAAATTGCCCAGAGCTAGAAAATAAAATTACAGACTAACATCACTTATTAAAATAGATTCAAAAATCTAACACAATAAAAATGGCAAAGCATATGATTAAATATGCACTTTGAATTAGTCCCTTTAATTGACAGTGCTTGAGTTAATTTTGCCTTGTTTTCCTATTGCTAAGAACATTCTTTTTACCTGCCCCTTCTAAGTATTATTTTGTTATTAATTGCTTATGTTTTTTTATTTGTTTATTACTCCCTTGTTCAAGGCAATTCTATAAATTTTATTTCCACAGGAAACAGTGAACTATAGAATAATTTTGAGCAAGAAAGTGACCTGACTACATTTGAGCTTTACCAGGAGCATTCTGCCCTTGGCATGCAGAATGCATTCCAATGGAAGAAAATGTACTAGAAAACCAGTTAGAATGCTTCTGTGAGATAAACAGTAAAGAATACAGGGATCCTTACAATGTGTGTGATTACCAAAATAAGGTAAACGCTGCAGACGTAACTGTTTAATTAAAACTAAAACTTTCCTCCATAATATAGGTATTTCTAAAGAATCTACAAATAAAATTAATGTCAAAATTAGAGAAATGTATTATGTAAATAGTGTTAACTTTTTGAGTGCTACTAGCAATATAAATTGTGCTTAGAATTATTTAGTAGAATTACTAAGTGAATACAGTCAGCTTTACAAGTAGAAAAATATTGAAACTATTTTTTCCATATAGGTTTAATAATAGTAAATTGTAAAATGTAATGTGGAAAATACACAAAACACCATTTTTTTATATTTATATAAGTAAAATATAAGAACATAAATTTAGTTAGTAAATATATAGCTATCTTAATAAAATAAAATCAAAAGAAAGTAGAAACCCTGAATAAGTAAAACCACATCATTTCACTAAAAAAGTTAAGAAAATTTACTAAGCAGAGATAAGCAGTCTTCTGATGGGTAACTTTCTTTAAAATTAGGTGTTTGTGTTAGTAATAGCATAAACAAATGAAATTTTATGTATAAAATTGTTTCTTTTTTTAGAAATAAATTTCATGTTTATAGTTTGAAAAAATTATTCATTTTATTATAACAGTTATTCATGCATGTTTTAAGTAAATATCTAAATGATATATATTTTTAATATTAAATAATTTTTGTTTTGATGACTGCCATGGTCATTAATAACTTCAGTTAGCTTGTAGAACTAAAGATGACTCAGGTCTTCTATGCTGCGTGGAACAGAGTGGTTAAAAACATAGGCTTTAGAGTCAGATAAGCCCAAGATCAAATCCTAGTAGTGTCATTAATGAGCTTAATGGCCTTGGGTAATGTTACAGGTTGAAATGTGTCCCCCAAAAAGATACGTTGAAGTCTTAACATCTGGTACCTTTGAATGTGGCCTTATTTAGAAATTGGGTTTTTGCAGATGTGAGTAAATGATGATGAAGTCATTAGGGTGGGCCCTAACCCAGTAAGGCCTTAGAAGAGGGGAAGAGGCACAGAGACAAATGCTGGACAGAGAGCAGAATGCCATGTGATGACAGAGTCAGAGACATAAACAGTGTGTCTACAAGACAAGGAATGTTAAAGATTGCTAGCAACACCAGAAGCTAATAGGAAAAAAAAATTCTCCCTAGAGCTTCTAGAAAGAGCATGGGCCTGCAGGCACCTTGATTTCAGAATTTTATTTAGCCCCCAGAACAGCGAGACAATACATTTCTTGTTCTAAGTCAGTCAGTTTGTGGTAATTTGTTACAGCAACTCTGTAAAATTAATATAGTTAAGTAACTTAACTTACTCATGTTTCAGGTTTTTCCCTCTTTAAAAGAGACATAATAATTCCCATTGCATATTTAGTATCTCTGTAGTCTGAATTTCCTCATCAGCAAAATAGGAATAATAACATGCTTGTAATAATGTTGTAAGAATTAAATGAGAATTAATATGTGTAAAGCACTTACACCTGTACCTGACACATAGAAAATTTTCCTAAGTACTTGTCATTTTATTATTAAATTTGATAACCCATGCAATGTGACTAACATAGTGCTTAAAACATATAAGTTTTTGTTAAATATCATTAACTGTTCTGACTAAATAATAAAGTTATATAAAATACTTACAATGTGCCTCAAGCATAGCAAGTTTTCAATAAATGTATGCTATTATAATTACTTTTGAAAATAAAATAATTTATCCTTTAAGTTATTATTTAAGTTTCTAGTGAAACTACAAAATTAATCTTTAAAACACTGAAATGAATTGTTTCACACTAAGTACTTCATTCCTTCATGAGTTCTCAACTCTGGATGTCTGTTGGTCTAAATTTAAAAAAGTTAAAACCATGTAGCAATTTTAGTTATTCTTAATGGAAGCAAAGATTGGAATGCTTCAACTACAATTCAAAGGAACACATTTGTCTAAAAATATTTATGAAAAGTTTATCAGTGTCAAGAATTGTGTTACTTTGGGGGAGGAAATAAAGTAAATATGATACCAGTGACTACTAATTAAAAAATGATGAGTATCCTGCAGGGGTGAAAAAAAGGTGCACTGTGAACACATAGCAGGGGGAGCTAATTTAAAATGGGCAGCAGACAAATATTTCTAGAAGAGGAGATATACTATTGGGAAAAAAATTAAGAATATATATCACAGATATTAATTTCCTAATTTAAAGAATTATTATAATTATGCAAAAGATTGCCTTGTTTTAGGAAATAAACATTAAAGTATTTATGGGAAAAGGTATCTTACTGTACCCAAAGCTTACTTTAAACTAGTTCAATAAGATATTATATCTCTACAGTAATGCACTGCAGAATGATGTTTTAGACAACTATGGACTGCATATACAATGGTGGTCTCATAAGCTTATAAATCTATGTTTTAGTGTATGTTTTCTACATTTAGATATATTTAGGTACACAAATACTTTATCATCTTGGCATAATTGCTTACTGTAGAACGTACAGTAACATTCTATACAGATTTGTAGCCTAGGAGCCATAGGCTACACCGTATAGACTAGGTGTGTAGTAGGCTATACCAACTTGGTTTTTGTAAGTACACTCTATAATGTTTGCAAAACAAAACTGCCAAAGAGCAAATTTCTCAGAAAGTATCTGTCATTAAGCAATGTATGACTTTATATGCATATATAATACATACATACAGTATATAAATACATATATATAATATCTCTATATTAAATAGAAAAAACAAAAATATGGGGAAAATATTAACAATATAGGGAATCTGGGTAAGACTATACTATAATTATTTGTGTTACTTTTGAAACAATTATATGCATTAGAATTTATGTAAAAATGGTGGGATAATCATGAATATGTCATAAAAGAAGAGAAATCTAATATGAAACAGAGTTGTTCTGCTCTGTCACTTAGATTATTAGTTATTTTTGATGACCAGTTTAAAGCATGGTTTACACAGGATCTAGCCTTCATAATTTGGGAATAAATGAGAAAACTGGACTACAGATATTTCCTTCGAAAACCTGTCCTCAAACACAATTGACTTGGAAAAGCATGAGTATTTTTACATTTTTTTTCCAAACAATAGAACACTTACAGATGCAAATGAAATACAAGGTTTATTTAAATTAATAGTTTCTCAGCCTTATTCCATTTAATTCATACATAGTCACTTGGCTTATTACCTTCCATAGCTCTGTAGAGATGATCAAGAAAATATATGCAGGTAAATATTACTATATTGCTTTAAGGAGCTATAATACTGAAGAACGTTGATTTGAGTCATTTTTGTTTCTATAAACAGAGTTGCCTGATAGATTGTTTTGCAAATCTGTTTATTTGTTTTAGGGAAAATTTTTTCTACTAGTGTTACAGATACAGTATGCACCACCAGATGCTATTTTTGTTTAATGATTTTCTACTCTTAATAACCTACGTAGTACGTTTAGAGTTGGAAAGCTGCCAAATTGACTCTAATTTAAATTTTCATATTATAAGTGAATATCTTGGTAAGTATCATAAATCATCCTGTGAAAATATCAATGCATCCAAAGCCACACTAAAACCATTTAAGTCCAAAGAACACTAGGTCATGTTAAACAAAGTGTACTCAGTCAGCAGATCAAAGCAAGTTCCAATTATCTTTAGATAAACTCAACTAAACTTTCAAAAAATATGTGCATCAAACATCATACTTCATCTATCCACAAGATACATTTTTTTTTATCACTGGTGTATATATACTCTCATTTATTAAGAGGTATATTTTGAACAATAAATCTGCCTTTCATACAGTGCCACTCATGCAAAGTCCTATATATCATAAACTGAAGTCAAACTTTGCCAATTTATAGTACAAGGAAGTGGGCTACTCTGCAGTAGCAGTATATTTAATTGGCAGTGAAAGTATTCAGCAAGTCAGGATCCTTTTTTCTCAGCAACAGTGAAACACCTCCATTCAAATAAATTAATACTCTTATCTCAACTGATTTGTTTGGTAGGAGACGTAAGAAAAAGATGGAGCTGTAAATTAATTTTGAAATGTATCAACTGCATTAATTATTATTTTTATTTATTTCTGAGTGTTTTACTACCCTAAAACTTAGTGATATAAAACAACAACTATTCACTTGCTCAGGATACCAGTGATTGGCAACATTGGAAGGGCTCAGAGGGCATGGCTCATCTCTGCTTCTTATGGGGTGTCAGCCGGACTCATTCATGCTGTTGTGGGTCAGTTGGTAGGTCATCTGGTTGGTCCTGGATGACTTTCATTGCTTGCAACTGGCTGGCACTGTCAGCCAGGATATGTCAATACCATCCACATTCTATGTCCAGCAGGCTACCATGGAATTTTGTAGTACAGCATCTGATTTCTAAGAGGACAAGAGAGAAGCTAGACAGCCTCTTGAG